ATAGGGGTACAGGTGTTTTTTCGTGGCTTTTTTTTTTTTTTTACTCCTCCTCTCGCGCGTGACTCGCTCTCGCGCTCGCCTCGCGCTTGCCTCCGTTTGACCGAAAAACGCTGAAAAATTGCGCCTGTTCTGCAGATCCAGGCCTCCTCAATGAAACTAAGGGTTCATGGTTTCCTCTTTCTTGTCTTTCTTCATATCAAAACGGATGGTAAAAACAAACTTTTTTTTTTATAACCACATCAACATTCAGATAAGGAGGTTTTTCTCGGAGTTAGTCGAGAGTAAAAGCTGTGGAAAATATTGCCTGATAATAATCCGAATTGGAACGAACACAGCTTTACTGGCCTTTTCCCTGGGAATGTAAGTTAATGATTACTAAGCTAAAATTATTAACAACACTTCACTGAACAATTGTTGTTTTCTTTCTTTCATGTCAACTGATGCTCAACAGACTGTAAGTATCTACTTATTGTGCTACGTATGTTTATCCATTCCCTGATCTTGTTGTTTAAGATCAATCCTATTTCTTTTAAAATAGGCCTTTGACTAGTATTTGCATAAAATCCAATTTGAATACTTATCATTTTTTTTTTAAACTGATATGTAATTAAAATTAGATTAATCTTACGTTGTGTTTGTCACTTGTCACATAACTTTCTGGCAGCTGAGTAATTTTGTTGGAGCTAGCTTGGAAGTTACAAGAACAATAAGAAATAATAAGCTTCATTTTACATGAGGGGGTGTTCCATTTTGTTTTTCGTGGTTTTTCTATCTTGGTGTACATAGGGGTACAGGTGTTTTTTTGTGGCTTTTTTTTTTTTTTTACTCTTCCTCTCGCGCGTGACTCGCTCTCGCGCTCGCCTCGCGCTTGCCTCCGTTTGACCGAAAAACGCTGAAAAATTGCGCCTGTTCTGCAGATCCAGGCCTCCTCAATGAAACTAAGGGTTCATGGTTTTCTCTTTCTTGGCTTTCTTCATATCAAAACGGATGGTAAAAACAAACTTTTTTTTTAATAACCACATCAACATTCAGATAAGGAGGTTTTTCTCGGAGTTAGTCGAGAGTAAAAGCTGTGGAAAATATTGCCTGATAATAATCCGAATTGGAACGAATACAGCTTTACTGGCCTTTTCCCTGGGAATGTAAGTGAATGATTACTAAGCTAAAATTATTAACAACACTTCACTGAACAATTGTTGTTTTCTTTCTTTCATGTCAACTGATGCTCAACAGTGCGTAAGTATCTACTTATTGTGCTACGTATGTTTATCCATTTCCTGATCTTGTTGTTTAAGATCAATCCTATTTCTTTTAAAATAGGCCTTTGACTAGTATTTGCATAAAATCCAATTTGAATACTTATCATTTTTCGTAAAACTGATATGTAATTAAAATTAGATTAATCTTACGTTGTGTTTGTCACTTGTCACACAACTTTCGGGTAGCCGAGTAATTTTGTTGGAGCTAGCTTGGAAGCTACAAGAACAATAAGAAATAATAAGCTACATTTTACATGAGGGTGTTCCATTTTGTTATTAAAAAAAGGAAAAGGGCCCTGAGACCGAATTTCCTTTTTTTTTTAATGGTTGTGACATTTTTAAAAGTATTTTTATTCTAATCATAACCTGCCTAGCTATTCACCATTTTCAAAATGTTTTTCGTGTTTTTTCTATCTTGGTGAGCATAGGGGTACTCTTCCTCTCGCGCGTGACTCGCTCTCGCGTTCGCCTCGCGCTTTGCTCCGTTTGACCGAAAAATGCTGAAAAATTGCGCCTTTTCTGCAGATCCAGGCCTCCTCAATGAAACTAAGGGTTCATGGTTTCCTCTTTCTTGTCTTTCTTCCTATCAAAACGGATGGTACAAACAGACCTTTTTTTATAACCACATCAACACTCAGATAAGGAGGTTTTTCTCGGAGTTAGTCGAGAGTAAAAGCTGGGGAAAATATTGCCTGATTATAATCCGAATTGGAACGAACACAGCTTTACTGGCCTTTTCCCTGGGATTGTAAGTAACACTCCACTGAACAGTTGTTGTTTTCTTTCTTTCATGTCAACTGATGCTCAATAGCGGGTAAGTATCTACTTATTTTGCTACGTATGTTTATCCATTCCCTGATCTTGTTGTTTAAGATCAATCCTATTTCATTAAAATAGGCCTTTGACTAGTATTTGCATAAAATCCAATTTGAATACTTATCATTTTTTGTAAAACTAATCTGTAACTAAAACTAAATTAATCTTACGTTGTGTTTGTCACTTGACACATAAATTTCTGGTTGCTGAGTAATTTTTTTGGAGCTAGCTTGGAAGTTATCAGAACAATAAGCAACAATAAGCTACATTTTACATGAGGGTGTTCCATTTTGTTATTAAACAATAAAAGGAAAGGGGCCCTGAGACCGGATTCCCTTTTTTTTAAAATGATTCTGACATTTTTTAAAAGTATTTTAATTCTAATCATAACCTCCCTAGCTATTCACTATTCTGAAAATGTTTTTCGTGGTTTTTCTATCTTGATGTGCATAGGGGTACAGGTGTTTTTTCGTGGCTTTTTATTTTTTACTCCTCCTCTCTCGCGTGACCCGCTCTCGCGCTCGCCTCGCGGTTGCCTCCGTGTGACCGAAGAACGCTGAGAAATTGCGCCTGTTCTGCAGATCCAGGCCTCTTCAATGAAACGAAAGGTTCATGGTTTCCTCTTTCTTGTCTTTCTTTCTATCAAAACGGAGGGTAAAAACAAACTTTTTGTTAATAATCACATCAACATTCAGATAAGGAGGTTTTTCTCCGAGTTAGTCGAGAGTAAAAGCTGTGGAAAATATTGCCTGATAATAATCCGACTTCGAACGATACACAGCTTTACCGGCCTTTTCCTAGGGAATGTAAGTTAATGATTACTAAGCTAAAGTTATTAACAACACTTCACTGAAAAGTTGTTGTTTCCTTTCTTTCATGTCGACTGATGCTCAACAGACGGTAAGTATCTACTTATTGTGCTTCGTATGTTTATCCATTCCCTGATCTTGTCATTTAAGATCAATCCTATTTCTTTTAAAATAGGCTTTTGACTAGTATTTGCATAAAATCCAATTTGAATACTTACTATTTTTTTTTTTAAACTGATATGTAATTAAAATTAGATTAATCTTACGTTGTGCTTTTCGCTTGTCACATAACTTTTGGGCGGCTGAATAATTTTGTTTTAGGTTGTTAAGAAGAAAGTACCGGACTGGCGTGTCGTGCAATTAGCGCGCGCACGCTGAGACATTTAACGTTAATCAGTCGTAAGCAAGTTATGCTTACGATTTCTCGCGTGTGTGTTGTCGTAGTTTTAGTCGCAGTTTTTAGCCGCATTTTTTAGTCGTAATTAGTGGCAGTTTTTTAGCGGCATTTAGTCGCATTTGGGAGATTTTCGTTATCGCTTGTGTTTTCCAGTTTAGTCGCATTTATGAGGTTTTCGTTATCGCTCCCGAACATTTCTGGCGACCACGATGGGAGAAAGGCATGAACTGGTGTTTGTTTGAGGTTTCGTTTGCCATTTGAGTTTTTGAGTTTTGAGTTGTGCACTATGGCTGCCGAATCCGAGAACAGCGATGTTACCGAATTTACCGAGAAGAATGACGAAATTGCGAATGGAGTCGACAAACAGAAGCAAAACGACGTTTTGTTAATTCAGATTGAAAGAAGAAAACGCTCCGCAAAGACAAAAGTGACAAAACTCAGACATGAGTTGGAAAGACTACGCGTGAAGGATTCCGAAGTAACGGACATAGAAAGTATGATTGGGCAGTTGTGGGCAGCCTTTGAAGACGCACAAGAAATTTTAGAGGAATTGTCTGCCTTCTATGTCGAAGTCGGAGAAGACACTGGGAAAAACGAAGCTTTTAAAGAGTCAGAAACCATCGAAAAAGACGTACAAAGAGCGATTGAAGCGGGACAAAATGCGATCAAGGTCCGCGCATGCAAAGTCGTGGATATGAACACGCCATTGAGCGAGAACACGACGGATCGCTACGAGCAATCGGCCCGAGAAGATCAGCTAAAAGAGAGTCACCACAGCCACAACGACCGAAACCGATATTTGAAGCCGTTAAAAGTTTCGACATTCAATGGTGGCAAAAGAAAGTTTGAAGATTTCTGGGCCCTCTTTACAAGTCTAGTAGACGAGTCAACGGAGCCAGTAAATTTGAAGATGGCAAGGCTGCGACAATGTCTCACAGGGACCGCCTTGGAAGCCATCCGTGGTCTCGGAGTCACCGTCCACGAATACGAGGAGGCCAAATAGATATTAAAAACGAAGTATGGAGGTACGCGTCGGCTTCTGCGAGCCTACTTAGATCAACTAGAACAGGCGCCGTTAATAGGAAGTAACGACATTCACGCATTGGAGAAGTTTGTTGACCTTGTTGGAATTACAGTGGTAAAGTTACAGGCCGAAAGAAGAGACGGAGAGTTAGAAGATGGAACTTTTCACAGTTTGTTGGTGAAAAAGTTGCCTAAACGCCAGCTGGAAAATTACAGTCGCTGGTTGAATGACTGCGCCAGACAAAAATCAGTCATATCTTTCAGAGACTGGTTGAGAGACGAGGTCAGATTCCGAATATAAGGAGCGGAAATGGCGAACGGAATTGAGCCGAAACTTGTCGAGCACGTTAGACCACCGAGAATACCGAGAGAACCGAGTTACCAGGAACAGAGTAGAATGCGAAATTTTCATACTGCTGCAATAGGGAAAGAGTCCATGTTCTCTCTGTCAGAGTTTCGGTCACGGGGTGTGGTTTTTTAAGGAGTTTTATGGCAGAGGAGTGGATGACCGCTGGAAGATCGCTAAAGAAAAGAAGTTGTGTTTTCGTTGCCTAGCCTCTGATCATAGGGGGAAAGATTGCCTAAAGTCCCGCACGTGTGCAATAGATGGTTGTTCTAGAAATCACCACTGGCCTCTTCATGGAAGTGAAGCTTTGTCAGAAACCGGATCGATGACAATGTTGCCTCATGCTGACGATGGAAGACGCCCAGATGTTCCACGGGAGGGGGTTGCCCCCTGTGACCCTGACCAGTTGTAATGCACAAACGCCGACTGAGTCTTATTCGTTTCGAACTGTCCCTGTGTGGATGAAGGCTAATGGAAGAAAAGTAAAAATAAACGCCATCCTAGACGATGCATCGAACGAAACTTTCCTAAACGAAGCGGTTGCTGGGATACTGGGACTGCAAGAGCCATTAGAAAAAGTTCAAGTTTATGTGTTCAATGACACCGTCGAAACATTTCAGTCCATGCCAATCAAAATTGAAATCGAAAGTGTAGATGGCAGGTTTTCAAAGGAAATAAGCGCAAAAACGTGTCCGCAGAAAGTCACTGGCAATTGCAGAGTTGTGAACTGGAACGACCATCAGAATAAATGGCTGAAACTGACCCAGTGCAATTTTCCCAAGCCGGCAAATGATAGACTTGTCGATCTTTTGATTGGCATTGATAACGCTGAACTCCGTTATTCGCACGTTGATCTCCGTGGAAAAAATGGTGGACCTATCGCCCGACTCGAACCACTTGGGTGGAGTTGTATTGGCGCTCGACGAAAACGAGACCGCGAGAACACGATCTCACGTTATCCGTTCCTTGTTCACTAGAGAACCTATATGGAGCGAGGGAAAAGAATCCTGTTGTGACGTCGACAACAGCTTAAAGAGATTCTGGGAAATCGAGAAGTCTGGCACAGACCGCTATGGCAGGCTCGTACTCGCCGAAGAAGAAAGACTAGCCCTAGGCAGAATGAAAGATCCCCTCAAGTACGAAAATGGAAGATATCGTGAAGCCGTCCCTTGGAAAGAAAACAAACCCAATCTCCCTGACACTAAACCCATGGCACTCTCTCGCCTTCGAAGCACCGAGGGAAATCTGAAGAAAAACAGCCGCGTCGCCGACGAATATCAAGCAACCATTCAGGCCTATGTTGAAAAGGGATATTTACGAAAGGTACCCTCAGAAGAACAGCCGCCAGCTAACGTATGGTGTTTGCCCCATTTTCCAGTCGTGAGAATGGATAAATCGACAACGAAAGTTCGAATCGTATTTGACTGTGCCGCTAAATGTGATGGTATTTCCTTAAATGACATGATCCATCCTGGGCCGAAATTACAGCAAGATCTTTTCAACGTCCTTGTCCGTTTCCGTCGAAATCCCGTTGGTGTCGCTTGCGACATAAAAGAAATGTATCTCCAGACAGAGATTGAGGAGCAGGACCGATCCCACTTCCGACTTTTTTGGAGAGACTTTGACTCTAACCGAGAACAAGACGTATTCGAGTTTAGCCGTATAGTTTTTGGAAAGAATTGCGCCCCTGTGGAGTCGCAGTTTGTTGCGAAGGAGAACGCTCGAAGAAACCAAGACCGCTATCCCCTTGCCACTGAGACCATCCTTAAGTCAACCTTTATGGATGATTCTATTGACAGTGTTGAAAACGATGATGAAGGAATGGAGCTGTATCGTCAATTGAAAGCACTATGGGGAATTGCCGGCATGCAAGCCAGGAAGTGGATCTCTAATTCACCGAAAGTTATTGAAGTGATTCCGAAAGAAGAGCGCGCCACAGAGATCGTGATTAACAGCGGTCAAGATCCGATAACTAAGACACTCGGAATTCGTGGAACAGTACTGAAGATGTGTTTTACCGTCACCGCTTCTGCAGTTTCCCCGTAATTTCAGACAACGAAGCGAAACGTCCTGCATAAAGTAGCAACGATATTTGACCCACTGGGATTTGCATGCCCATACATTATTGTGGCCAAGATCCTACTCCAGGAGCTGTGGATGCGAGGCTACGACTGGGACGACGAAGTTCAAGATGAAATAGCAGAAAAAATCGGGGATTGGTTGGAGCAGTTGCTACGACGTCCAGAGCCTGTCAAATCGAAGCACATTGTGACATTTGTTGATGCCTCTCAGCAAGCTTATGGTGCAGCTGTCTATATGCGCTGCGAATACGATAACGATACCGTAACCCGTCGCCTGATTGCAGCTAAGAGTAAAGTGGCGTCGTTGAACCCGATGACAGTACCCAGACTGGAACTCATGGGTGCGATTTTGGGCCTGCGTTTAACACAGTCCTTGCTGACGGTCTTAGAAGTAACAATCCAAAGCGTGACATTCTACTCTGACAGTACAGATGTCTTATGGTGGATTCGAGGGCGCGGAAAAGACTTCTGACCGTTCGTAGCCAACCGAATTGGTGAAATACAGATGTTCACTGAACCGTCGCAGTGGCAGCATGTCTCTACCGTAGAGAATCCAGCCGATTTATGCACAAGAGGGGCCTCGACTTCAGAGTTAGCCGAATGTTCCTTGTGGTGGAATGGCCCTGATTGGCTTACGAATGATTTCAGTGAGTGGTCAAAGATAAAAGTCTCGGATAGACCTAGTAAAATGCCAGAGATAATAACTTCGAAGAGGAAAGAGGACACGAATGCCTGTGCAACCCTCATGACGTGTAACCTTCAGAAAGAAAGTACACCGAAACAGAACAACACACTAGCAGTATGGAGACTTGATCCGAAACGGTATTCCAGTTGGACGCGCTTGATTCGAGTACACGCGAGAGTGAGAAGAGTACTACACAACATGCGCATCAGAGACAACAGGAATGCAAGTATGGAACTGTTGCCCGAAGAAATAAAGGATGCTGAAGAGGAAATAGTGCACAGCGCGAAACTTTCCATGATGAGTACGCCGCTCTGAGCGCAGGGAAACCGATACCAAAGAAAAGCCAGTTGATAACGCTTAACCCCTGTATCGACGACGATGGAGTTATCCGGAGTGATGGTCGATTAAAGTTCGCAGACTTTCTCCCATATGATACTAGATTTCCAATCATTCTGCCTCGTGGACACTGGGTGACGAAACTTATCGTGAAGCACTATCACGAGAGAGGAAACCATGCCGCTGGAGTAAACTTCATTCTTTGCCAGTTGAGTGAGAGATTTTGGATCATCGCCGCACGCGAGGAGATTCGCGAGTGGGATCACGAATGTAATGAATGTAAGAGAAGACGAAGCAAGCCAGCTTGTCAGATTATGGCGCCGCTCCCGAAAACCAGGCTCCGTTTCAGCTTCAGACCCTTCGCCCAAACAGCTGTAGATTTTGCTGGCCCCTTGTACACTGTTCAAGGACACAGAAAACCACGACAGAAGAGGTGGCTGTGCCTTTTTACTTGCTTGGAAACTCGAGCAGTTCATTTAGAGATGGCCTGGGGACTTGATACCGACACGTTCTTAAACGCCTTCGCCTGTTTCACCAGTCACCGCGGGGTTCCTAAGGAAGTGATAAGCGACAGAGGCACAAATTTCGTGGGTGCAATGGGCGAGTTAAAGAAACTAGCCAGCCAGTTAGACCGACGACACCTTTAGAGCAAGAGAGCGGAACTTGGACTGACATGGAGATTCAATCCACCAGGTGCCCTACATTTTGGAGGAGCCCATGAAGTAATGGTGAAAGCTGCTAAGAAAGCCATTTATGCCGTTGTAGGAGAACGAGATGTAAACGATGAGGAGCTGATCACTGTGTTCACTGGGGTGGAATCCCTTCTTAATTCCCGTCCGTTGACTTATCAGAGTTCAGATCCACGAGACGGTGTTCCATTGACCCCCAACCATTTTTTGCACGGCCAAATGGGGGGACAGTTCGCACCCGAGTCCGTTGAAACCACTAGCTATTCACTATTCTCAAAATGTTGTTCGTGGTTTTTCTATCTTGGTGTGCATAGGGGTACAGGTGTTTTTTCGTGGCTTTTTTAATTTTTCACTCCTCCTCTCGCACGTGACTCGCTCTCGCGTTCACCTCGCGCTTGGCTCCGTTTGAACGAAAAACGCTGAAAAATTGCGCCTGTTCTGCAGATCCAGGCCTCCTCAATGAAACTAAGGGTTCATGGTTTCCTCTTTCTTGTCTTTCTTCATATCAAAATGGATGGTAAAAACAGACTTTTTTTATAACGACATCAACACTTAGAGAAGGAGGTTTTTCTCGGAGTTAGTCGAGAGTAAAAGCTGTGGAAAATATTGCCTGATAATAATCCGAATTGGAACGAACACAGCTTTACTGGCCTTTTCTCTGGGGATGTAAGTTAATGATTGCTAAGCTAAAGTTATTAACAACACTTCACTGAACAGTTGTTTTTTCCTTTCTTTCATATCCACTGATGCTCAACAGGATGTAAGTATCTACTTATTGTGCTACGTATGTTTATCCATTCCCTGATCTTGTTGTTTAAGATCAATCCTATTTCTTTTAAAATAGGTATTTGACTAGTATTTGCATAAAATCCAATTTGAATACTTATCATTTTTTTTTTAAACTGATATGTAACTAAAAATAAAATAATCTTGCGTTGTGTTTGTCACTAGTTACATAAATTTCTGGTCGCTGAGTAATTTTGTTCGAGCTAGCTTGGAAGTTACAAGAACAATAAGCAACAATAAGCTACATTTTACATGAGGGTGTTCCATTTTGTTATTAAAAAAAGGAAAAGGGCCCTGAGACCGGATTCCTTTTTTTTTTTTTCAATGATTCTGACATATTTTTAAGTATTTTAATTCTAATCATAACCTCCCTAGCTATTCACTTTTCTGAAAATGCTTTTCGTGGTTTTTCTATCTTGTTGTGCATAGGGGTACAGGTGTTTTTTCGTAACTTTTTTCATTTTTCACTCCTCCTTTCGCACGTGACTCGCTTTCGCGCTCGCCTCGCACTTGCCTCCGTTTGACCGAAAAACGCTGAGAAATTGCACCTGTTCTGCAGATCCAGGCTTCCTCAATGAGACTAAGGGGTCATGGTTTCCCTTTCTTGTCTTTCTTCATATCAAAACGGATGGTAAAAATACTTTTTTTTTTTATAACCACATCAACATTCAGATAAGGAGGTTTTTCTCGGAGTTAGTCGAGAGTAAAAGCTGTGGAAAATATTGCCTGATAATAATCCGAATTGGAACGAACACAGCTTTACTGGCCTTTTCCCGATCCTTGGGGACGGAATTGAATGATTACTAAGCTTAAATTATTAACAACACTTCACTGAACAATTGTTGTTTTCTTTCTTTCATGTCAACTGATGCTCAACAGTGGGTAAGTATCTACTTATTGTGCTACGTATGTTTATCCATTCCCTGATCTTGTTGTTTAAGATCAATCCTATTTCTTTTAAAATAGGCCTTTGACTACTATTTGCATAAAATCCAATTTGTATACTTTTAATTTTTTTAAAACTGATATGTAACTAAAATTAAATTAATCTTGCGTTGTGTTTGTCACTTGTCATATAAATTTCTGGCCTCTGAGTAATTTTGTTGGAACTAGCTTGGAAGTTACAAGAACAACAAGCAACAATAAGCTACATTTTACTTGAGGGTGTTCCATTTTGTTATTAAAAAAAGGAAAAGGACCCTGAGACCGGCTTATTTTTATTTTTTTCAATGATTCTGACATATTTTTAAGTATTTTAATTCTAACCATAACCTCCCTAGCTATTCACTCAGGTGTTTTAAGTGGTTTTATTTTTCACTCCTCCTCTCGCGCGTGACTCGCTCTCGCGCTCGCCTCGCGCTTACCTCCGTTTGACCGAAAAACGCTGAAAAATTGCGCCTGTTCTGCAGATCCAGGCCTCCTCAATGAAACTAAGGGCTCATGGTTTCCTCTTTCTTGTCTTTCTTCACATCACGACGAATGGTAAAAACTAGACCGTTACGCAGCTTTCCTGGTTCCCTCACGAAAAGTGATATGTTCACTCATTTAGATACGGAGACTATTTAGACAACTCATTTGAGGATGAAAATTGTGAAAAAGATTTTCCATTCATCTGTCTTGCTGTTCAGCCCAATTCAAGGTTTTAAAGGGCAAAGTTTGAGGCAAAACCTTTTTCCGATGTAAAATGCCTTAGACCGCTCTTAATAGAAAATTTACAAACAAACGAACAAACCTGGAGGTCCTTTATCACTTTAGAAATAAGAAAATAGCCAACGGTTTATTTCATAATTTTGATCTTTTAAGGAGCAGGTGTATTACACCTTAGTACCAAATGAAGGAGATAATTAATCGAGAGTAAACACTGAAAAATAAAAAACAAAACCAAAAAAACCCCAGCCTGAGTGTAATCCAACTGGACCGTAAAAACTAAAACGAAATCAATGAATAAATAAACAAATGTCATGAAAGCGATCCAATTAAACCAGGTTAGCCCAGGACATCCTGAGTGACAATCACGATCAATGATTTCTCCGCTTGTA